TCTGTTACAATATTGACATTGATACACTAACTGCTTCTTGTGCATGAGTCTGTGTCTATTGTATGACCAAGAACGACCAAATGACTTTCCACAACTTTTACATCGAAATGGTTTCTCCCCAACATGAATTCTTATATGCTCGGTCAAAGAAGATGGACTTGAGAAAGTTACAGAGCAAACAGCACACTGGTATAACTTTTGAATGTGTTTTTTTAAGTGCATGCAGAAAGCTGTTGAATGTGCAAAAGAGCATTGACATGTTGTGCAACAATATGGTTTGTCATTGGTGTGTGTTCTCTGGTGGAGGCTCAGTCCAGCATTAGTTTTAAAAGTCATCTTGCATCCTGAGTTACCACATGAGTATGGCCTTTCGTCATCATTGCATAATGCATTTACTTCAATGGAGTAAGGATCTGAAAAGTCAAAACCTGATCCAGTGTTTTGTCTTGAATATCTGGCCTGTTTGTGAGTCAGGGCATGGATKGCAAGTAACCTTGATTGGCTGAATGATTTCTCGCACTTGGAGCATTTATAAGGCTTTAATTCCTTATGGTTTCTTAGATGCTTCACCAGATACGCTGAGCATTTAAAAACCTTCTTGCAATGTGTACAGCCATATGGATGCTCCTCAGAGTGAGACAACATATGACCTGTAAGGGAGTGAGACCTCTTGAATGACTTATCACACTCCGTGCACTTAAAATCCTTCTTGCTTTCAGCATGGATGGTCACATGACGAGCATACTCTGACCATGTKATGAAGTTCRTGTTGCAGTCTTTACAAATATGGACATCAAGATCTGTATGTGTCCAAAGATGTGCATTGAGTTCATCAAAATTCTCAAATACTGCATTACAGTGTGTACAGCGGCAATGCTCATCAACCTGAAGTGAACATTTATGGAGWGTTAATTGTGCTGGTAACTGGAAYGCTTTACCACAATCATTGCAAGAATAAGGCTTCTCTGTACTATGCATTCGTTCATGTCGTACCAGTGACCTGGATGTTGAGTAGGCTTTGGAACAATGGCTACATTTAAATGGTTTCTCTCCAGTATGTGTCATTAGGTGGTCTTTAAGTTGTGATGCCCTGCGGAATTGCTTTGAACACTCATCGCACTGGTAGAGTTTGTCAACCTTGTGGCATTTCTGGTGAAGATGGAGGGACTTGACATCTTCAAACACCTAAAAATACAAGTATAAATTTAGCTCCACTTGATTTATGTACAGTACARCTGAATCACTATGAAAATTTGAATGAATTTACTATGAAAAACAATAATTATCRAAGATCTCCATACCTCATCACAAACAATGCATGTATGTCTTTGTATGCCATCCTTGTGAGCCTGCAGATGATCCAGCAGTAACTTATGTCTTAAGTATGCCTTGTCACATAAGTTACACTTGTATGGTTTKTCCTTGGTATGATTCTGGACATGCTTCTCCAGAGCTTCTTCAAACTTGAATGCTTTGGGRCACTGTTCACACTTAAAGGGTCTTGTGTTATTCTTGTGTATTTGCGTGTGTCGTAGCATACTTCTTAATGTTGTAAATGACTTGGTGCAAGTGTTGCAAATGTAAGGAGTYTCACCAGTATGTTTCAGTTCATGATCTGTCAATTGACTTCGTCGTGAGAACATCTTSTCACAATTAGGGCATTTGTAAGGTTTATTTTCAGAGTGTGTTACAAGATGTGATGTAAGTGCATAAGACGTCTTGAAAGCTTTACTACACTGCTTACAGATRTGAGGACGTTCTTCAGTGTGTAACTGTTCATGTCGCTTTAAACAGCTGCGGCGTATGAAGGCTTTGCTGCAAGTCGTACACTTGAAAGGCTTGGCATCAGAATGCGCATTTACCATGTGCTTGGCAAGATGAATCAGTTTCTTGAAGTGACTTTTACAAACATCACATTTAAAAGTTTTAGATGCGTCATCAATATCATTGTCATCATAATCRTCATCATCAATTTCATCTACAAAGTAAAATGGCTTTTTATTTCTGGTGGACTTTCTAGTTGGTTTGCGAGTATTTTTTGTATTTTTCCTTGAAGACTTCTTCRCTGCTTCATCACTGCTGTAATCTTCATCATCATCATTTTCATTGTTTTTGGCTTCATCACTGTCACTTTTGTACCTGGGATCAAAACCCTCCTCTTCATTATCATCAGACTCTTCATCATTGCCACTCTCATCACTTCCTGATTTTCCCTTTTCTCTGTCCCTTCCATCTGATTCACATTGATTCACAGTGTTTTCCTGCTCACTGATGTCATTTGCAGTYGCTCTTTCAGTTTTATTTTTCATCATTTCACTTGGAAAACCCTCACTGGGATCACTAATGGCTTTGTTTATGTTTGTTTCCATAGCAATGGCATTACCCTGTAGAAACAATGATCAGATATAAGATTACATTTCAGTTATACAAATACACTTTTAGTATGGGCAGAAATATTGAAGTATTCAAAAGGAATTCAGATAACACCTGCTAGCAAAACATTCTCATTTTACTTTTTCTGGGGGAAGAGTAAAGTTGATCTACATGCCATTAATTAATTCATAGTTATTTTGTAGCATTCATTATAGTTTCTTGGAAACTGTATCAGTTTCCTCAAGCTGAAAGATGCTTCACGTTATTAAATGAGGGTCATCCCACTAGTGCAGTCAACAAGTTTAAACCTGAAAAACTGGGAATTATGCATAAATAACCCAGAACCTTGGATACCAGCAACAACAACAAAAATACAGAACTGAAATATAGTGTCTCCTTATATATCTCTTGAAAGTAAGAATAAAGGTTCACTTCATACAAATTGATGCTCTTTGATGAGCTATTTCGATATTATTGATATTTTTTGCAGAGTGGGATAGTTTCGGCTGACAAATTATTCACATCAGACAAAATGCAAGACATTTCTTCATGATTGCAACAGTACAAACAATTCTTTAATTTTGYTCTCATTTTTTACACTTGTACGCGCCAAACAATTCTATGCTTTTCGATACAGGTTGACAAAATAGCAGTCCATTTTTGAAATAACAGTAAAYTAGCTTCACGCAAACCGCATTTATATCACAACAAGACTTACAAGCTGTTTGGTGAAAAGGGTGCGCCTTTGTGATCTTTGTGATTCGGTTCAATTTTGAAGAACTCTGCGCTATTTGATTCATTGAGGCAGCTAAACTTCAACTAAAAACGAACCTTACCTTTATATTACAGCTTTTTCAGTTTATGTGGTATTTACGAGAGAGAAAACGGGAAATAAACACACCAAAAACCTTTTATATTTGTGGAAAGTTTGTCTGTATGATCAGACAATGCAACAGACAAATGGCTTCCCGAAGGGATCCCGAAATGTCCCCGATCAAAATCCGGAAAACTAACCTCCGGGAATTATTAATACCACAGGTAACCCAAATATAAATTAACGTAAGTCGTTCTGAATACGATTTTTCTAAAAGAATTAAAATAACTATTATATTATTGCATGAAAATGAAAATACTGACATTTGAACTAAACGGTATTGGTTGAACATGCATTATAARCTTCCATCTCTAGATTTTAATTCTGCAGCATTCTGTCAATATATTATAAGACTTTCCTCAATCATATCTGTTTATGACTTAATTTTCAAGGCTATAAAATTTCGATGTAACTTGCTTTTTCAATTTTGAATAAATTTACATGTGGACAATGTCCTCACCCTACCCCTATTCAGGTGAATTTTTGCGTTACTTCGACGTCCGCCATCTTGTTTTCTTGTCGAAGTGCGGGGTGCCAAGATGGAGTCTCAGGGGCAGCCATGTTTGAAGGGGCTCCCTTCACAACCTTTAGGGGCCACAACAGGACAAAATGGTAGGACTGGAGTATCTTCTCTTCTCTTTTCTGCCGCTTTTTACCCCTTGAAATCCCTGTAATTTGCTATGTTTTTCGCACGGCGCCTTTCAAAAACTAAGCTTACTATCCTTTGGCGTTKSGAAACAGAATCGTTTCTGGWTGATATGGATAAGTTGCTTGCAATRTTCCGAAAGATGCTGTGCTACTACGATAGATGAAATAGCTGCCTGTTCGACATTTCCGTAATCGTTCTTTACTAAAGTAGTTTCAATTTCTCTGGAAATTATATCGAATGGCAGATAATTGCGAAAGAAATGAAAGAAGCATACCTTTTTGTGTGTGCATGTATGCTAGCTGTCAAGATCTTTTAACTTCCCGCAAAGATTAAAAGMTGTATTTTCGATAGAATTCTACAATCTACCTCTTTTATGTTTCCCAATTTTAAAGTTTTGGTTAATAAAAAAGAAGTTTAGTGATGGTTAATTTGAATGAATGAATAAATGATTAAATTGATAGTTTGAAGGATTGAGGGATGGCAAGGGAGTATTTTGGGTGGCTGGTCACCACCTCATTCTATTTTTTCAAAAATATAAATGGAAATTCAGGAAATGAAACATTTACTACTAGAAACTCATTCATTAAGTGAAATATAAGTCATCCATTCTCTGATAATGTTTAGATCAAGATCAAGAAAATATTCCTACCAGCAAAAAGAGAGTGCTTGAACAAACATGTCTTCCTCAATCCAAGAAACAAAAAAATGAAGGTTCAGTTTCCACAAGAGTGGAGAAAAGCAACAGCATTCCCAGAGTGCTACTTGATGGTGATGAAGACGATGAAACAGAAGAAGGAGATCAATTGCAAAGGAACTTGGATGAAACTCCAGAGCATTTTTCAGAAAGTGACGATCACCCAGAGGAGTTGAGAAATACTACCACAACAAGCTTGAATCAATGTGAGACTGAAGGGGAATTAGTTCAGCATGAAGATAAACCTTTTAATAATGACAAAACGTCTTGTCATGAAGAGGAATGTCAAAGAGAAGCAACGTCATCAGTTAAAGTGGCTGTGTCCTCCAGTTACCATGGAGATATCTCCAAGGAGGAAGACCCTATTAATTTGTTAGAGGAAAAGACAAGTACTCAGAATGCTACTGAATCAAATCCAAGTAGCTCCACAGAACAAGCAACTATTTGTCAGGATTTCCAAGGACATTCCACTTCTGATGAAGTTAACATAGGTCTGACTTATAATAATTTATCAAATAAAGAAGTTGATGCAAATTATCAAATACAAGGTATTGTATTCCTTTAAACCTATGGAGCAATTTGAAAAAATGGGATTCAATTTGAATGACAATTACTCAAATCTAAGCAGTCATTGATCCATGTAGAAATCTTCTATTACTGCAAAAGCAATTTGAATTTGATATTCAAAACAACATTTTTTGTCATGTGAAGTATTTATTTTTCAAATCAGTTGCTTTGCTGATGAAATTACACAGTTGATGCTTAACTATTGTTTACAGTGCTATGTCATCAATCCAGATTGTAAAATATTATGTCTTATTCAACAAGCTTTTTCTTGTTTAGGTCATGACCACTTAGACAGGGATGACAGAAAGAACAAAGTACACATGAAGTTAGACATGGACAACATTCAGCTGTTAAGTGTTGGTGGTGATTACATTGATGGTCTGCCGTCAATTGTTGCTGTGACATCACCTAATCCAGATAGTGTTATTGGTTGTCATGGTGATGGAGTTGTCCAGCAAGCAGGTATGTATTTCCTGGTCAAAATTGTTGTTATTAAAAGGGAATGTCAATGAATAAATGAAAGAATAAAAGAATGAATGAATGGGAAAGACATGAATTTATATTCAAATGATTAGTAATAATAGTAATGACAATAATAGCATCATAAATGTCAGGTTTTTGGTGCTTAAAAATACATTAAATGCAATTGATTGTTCACAGATGCATGCCTTTTTCCCCTTTTTTTCTAGATACCGGTAAAGGTGAAGCTCAAAATCAAAGTCCAGCTCAAAGCACCATAATCCTGAACAGCAGTAGTAACAATCAAAAATCTAATGACTTAGACACAATGCCGATCCATGTATACCCACAGGGTCAGGGTATATCACTAGTAACAAGTTCAGGTATACTTACTGCCGATATATCAACCTTCTCCACTCAAGTTCCTACTATCCTTACTGAGGGTGATGCTGATGAAAACGAGACTCACACAAACTTCTCAGAGCAATTTCATGTGGTAACTACCAGTAATGGTCTGGCTGGAACACCACACATACCAGGACAAACTAATGAAATGCTGAGCGTTATGATGTCATCCAGTGATTTAAGCAAGAGTGTTATACTAACGGCAGACCAACAAAAAGCTATACTGGRTGAGGTTATTAACCCTGGTGTTGCAGGAGGACAGACACTACACATTACCATTCCTCAYGTGACTACGTCAGGACATCAAACCATTGCCACTACCCAAGGATCTGAGGGGAATGTTCCTTGTGGTGACCAGGAAGGTGTGGATGGCCAGGTCAGAGCTATCCAGGTTCAACTATTAAGTACTAATGAAGTTAGTATGGACAAGGTATTTACTGGAATACTTGGCTCTTTAGACTTATTGAGTTTCTATTTATTGATAATTTTGTTTTTATGCAGGGTACTGGTGAGGAGGGGAGTGGTAAAAACTCTTCCTGTCATCATCAAGACTGTGGTAAAGTCTGCCATAGAGCAAATAAACTCAAAATGCACTTAGTATCTCAGTCAGGAGATAGGCCATATAAGGTATGCCAAATATGGTAGTTGGTCACCATATATGGTAGACTAACCAAATATGGTTATTACTTACCATATAAGGTTTTCRCCATTCAGGTGAAATGGTGATGGTGGATTTGACAATATTGAGTGGATATTCATACACAATATCAGATGTTGATAGCAATACTTGTATGTTTGTTTAGTGCCCTCATGAGGGATGCGAATGGGCATTTGCTACTGCTTATAAGTTAAAACGACATGAAAGAGGACATACTGGAGAAAGACCATTTGTTGTAAGTAATCTTGTATGCCTGGTTTGTCTCTCAACCTCTTGTCTCCTTCTTCGTCCTTTTCGTACATTTTGAAAGTTGTGCTACGTGTTTTTGTTCCTACTCCGTTGACTTTCATCTCATTTCATTGCACGTTTCTCAGGCTCTTCTGCATCTTGTACGTCATCTCTGTTGACATAAAAAAGGGACTCTGGGTTGATAAAGATTATTGGAAGTATTCTTACTTTCATTTGTGAAATTTTAACACCCTAAAACGTAGGTGAAATAACTTATTTTGGCATCACCGACGCAGCTCAAAGTAGTTTACCGCTAGTTTCCATCATCTTCTTGTTTTCAYTCCCTTGTCTCCATCTTTTCCCTTTTTGCACTTCTCATCTCTTTTCATCGTCTCCCATCCTTGCACATATCTTATATACCGCTTTTCTTCTTGAYGCGTTTAAAATGATAATAACAATGATGTTGACATAAATAATGTTTTTCCCAGTGTCCTTACGAAGATTGCGGTAGGCGATTTACTACGGCTTACAATTTAAAGACTCATGTTCGAGCACATAATATACCTCACATACCATGTCAGTATGAAGGCTGCGATAAGTCCTTTCCTACCTTGCATAAGTTCCGTGTACATGAACGAAGACACCAGCAGGAAGAAAAACCCTTTAGGTGTGAGGTGAGTATTTGATTAGATCTCGTGCAAACAATGGCTAACCCATAGTAACAGTTGTGCAAAAATTTTAAAACCGTAAAAAAATAGATAGGTGAAACAACGTTTCGGACGTTCATCCTTCGTCGGAGTCTCTTTCTACACAACTTTTACTTTAGAAACACCAACGCAGCTCACACTAGTTTGCCGCACCATGTTAAGCCATAGTTAACCTATTAATATAACTCAAAGGTGGATGGATGCGGTAAAGAATTCTCTGCAATGGGTACCTTAGCCTCTCATCTAAAAAGCCATAGTGGAGAGAGACCTCATGGTTGTCCTATGGAAGGATGCGATAAACGGTTCACTAAAGCATCGAAGTTAAAACTGCATTTGCGAACACACACTGGAGAGCGACCCTTTGCTTGTGATGTGGAGGTTTGTATTGGTAGAATTCGACGTTAAATTAATTGAACAAAATGGTGGAGAACCCGTATTTCTATTTCAGGGGTGTGGTTGGTCGTTCACAAGTGCATATAAACTCAAGAGGCACATGCGCAAGCATACAGGAGAGCGTCCCTTTGTGTGTGCTTATGAGGGCTGCCACAAATCGTTTACTCGGTCCAGTCACTTGAAGACTCACACGCTCGTCCATACTGGAGAGAAACCTTATGTTTGTCCAATAGACGGTAAGAAAACGAGCCTTTATCGATTGATATGCACTGTTTGTCCATTGGATGATAGGGAAACTCCCCTTAATCGATTTATATGCTTTAGGATGCAACAAGGCGTTCACTGCGGGCAGCAGTCTCAATGTGCACATGCGCAAACACACTGGAGAGAAACCTTTTCGATGTGAAGAAGATGGCTGCACAAAGGCTTACACCACGGCATCCAACCTGCGAGCACACCAAAAAAGACATGACAAGAACCCCAAGATACTTGAAGGTAAAAAAATAATAATAATTACAACAACATCAACTACAATACGATCAACAACAACGACGACGACGTCCTTTTTGGGGATTGGGATTGKGATTGGAGGGATGGTAAAGGGAGGGAAGAAGGAAAAAAAAGCTACATATTATATAAAATATCATATAGAAATTGTAAAACAAGTGACGTCCTTTTTTTAATCAAAAACGATTCGTTACTCAATCAAGTGATCTCTTTTAGGATCAGATGACCAACAACCATTACCCTCAGAGTATGTTACCGTTAATGCTATGAGCGGTGCAAGTAACGCAAGCTCTCTAGTCGATAATGATTCGGAAGTAACGTACACGGGAATGCATACGTTTTCCTCCGAAGACTTTACGAACGATGACGTCACTACCATCCCGGTCAGCGTGCATTTCCCACCTGGAAGTCTTAATGCCATAGTTACCAATACTGGCAATCCGCTGACATTTTCTACCGCGGGAACACAAGATCATTCTGACGTCACCGATGAACAAGGAAAGGGTACAGTTGCTACTGTAACACTTCCAGTATCAAACATGGAAGTCGATGGCAGCCATATTGACGTAGCTGAGTTTGTCGTCCGTAGCGACAATGTTGAGCCCGTGCTACAGCATCATGAGGTCAGCAAACATTCTGATGTTGATACTCTAAAACACGACGGAGGCTTTGACCTGTCAATCACAAGTATCGTCAACCAATTACGAAGTCACGAGACATCACCTACTACAAAACTAGGTTCCAATGATGTTCTAGCAACTCATAGAGGAGAGAGACTAGTGATAGATAGTAAATTCGTGCCAAGCCACTCACGGGCGCTAGAGTTCAGGACCCCCGTCAACCCAGAGGATCAGTTTAAACCGCCGGCTGTTATATTCCAGGTAGAACTTATTCTATTGATAAATATTGATTTCTATTTCTAATATCACTATCCCATGTAACACCCACACAGCTCCGATGTTATACCGACAAAGCTCCGATGTAACACCGATAGAGACTTGACTAGTTAAACGCTTGTAGTCTATTTATTGTTTATTGATTTTGTTTATTTATTGAAGGAGGACAAGTCAGGGTCATCAGACACCGAGGGAGAAATGTCACAAGTGCACTCAGACCTCCCGACCACAAATCAAGGTCTGATGCAAATAACCCTGCCACAGGAGGTCATTCAAATACATTTTCCTCCTACGAATTCCCCCGTGCCTCCCGTCCCTTCAGAGAACGAAACGACTATTGAAATGGAGACGACAGCTGGCCATCACCAACTGCAGGCGTTTGAGTCATCCTCTTTGTCAGAGCTACAAGCTCATAACTTAAATAAAACTCAACTATCACCATATATGGAAGAAGAATCACCTGATGACAGTCAAGTAGATAATTATCCAGAAAGTACGATTAATTTACAGGACCTTAGATGACAAAGGAATCCCAAAAGTGAAGAATACTACAGGAAACCCATGTATGACCTATGTAAAATATTACACTACACGGAAAATATTTGAGATAACAGAAATCGAGAGTGCAAGGGAATAGAAAGCTTTAACAAAAAGCGAACAAGATTTGTGCTTCAGGCTCACAGCAAAAGAATTTATGATGTGGGAAGAAAATCAAATCAAGTGACCTGGAAGTTTAGTCCAAACCAGACACTCTTTAATAACTATACTTAACTATAGGTATACAGCTGCACTGCAATCTAACGCTGTAACTACTTTTTTAATAACTTTATTGAAAACACATTGAATAAAATTCAGGTTCAAATTCTACCCCACCTACTATGTATGGTATTTTGTCTCTCATCTTGCCCTTCAACTTCCGGTTACACTACTTCCGGCTAWCACTTCTTCCATGCAGTCATGCAGCCGCATATTTACATGCGCTCATTTACGTAAATATAGCTCTATWCATGTAGTCGTCTTTAAATGCCAGTAGGTCAATGAACATATATTCTAAGTAACCACTATTCCAGGATATACTCCATTTAAGAAGGCGTGGTCAAGGACCTCTTTGGTTTCTAATTAGCCCTGTAAACATTCCAATACTGCCGAAATTGTTTTTACAATTTATAGTCTTATCATTTCAAACGAACCGAGGATCAAAGTTTTACTTGCTTTTAGTTAAAAGATATAAAAGGATACGACCTCGAGCATTTTTAGCTATCATAATCATATATCGTCGTCTTGTGTTCTTTTACACATTCGTTTCGTTGAGAATGTGATGACATTTTCTCCATTTCTTTCTCTCTGTATATTTCTTATTTCTTTCTTTAATTGTTAAGTGAAAAATCATGATTACCTCGGTCTACATGCGTCATAGAGAAACGAAAGCACATGTGTTTTACAGGCCAGAGTTGACCTCTTCGTTGTGTGGTTATCATCGATGAAAGACGTCATTGCGTCAAAGCAGAGAAGACGATCTACACAAATCTATAAATAAATAGACCACGTACGATGTCTTGTCTGCATGACATAAATAATTCAAGCTTGTCTTGTTGATTGTCACTGAGAGAACAAATCAATTTGCTTCCACTGCAAAACTAATTAAGTTAGCCATCGCTGTTAGGGACTAATAAGACTTTCCGCAYCCTACCAGCAACAAAGCCGAAATATAAGGAGGATATTCGTTGCGGTTTTATTTCTTATGTTTGAAGTCTTCGATATCACTATTGCGATTCAATCTCCTTTAAAAAKTCCCTCCCCTGGTGRCGGGCGGACGTGTAATAGACAGTCATTAGGAGCCTGGTGCATGGGGACGACACTACCACATGCATAGATCGAAAAAATGATGATGGTGGTGATAAAAACACAGTCAGCGTCTCAAAAGTACAGGATCACGAGTTATGTGGAGGAAACATAGAGATGAAACCTTTATTGAAATAATGATTAATTTAACGAGATCAAATGAGACAAATATATTAGTTTATTGGTTAATTCTACGTAGATAAAGTTCCTGTATTTTAGAGACATTTAGCAGCCACACCCTTTAAAGCGCTGCAACAGATGCTACATCGGTATAACCGTATACTCAAGGCCGGTGCAGTCATATCGTGTAGTCGGGTGCTATACTATGACATATCAGCCAGTTCTAAGCCTCGTGCGTTTATAGTGCGTATGCAGTCCGTTCCTATACTACAGGCCGTATGATATTTGTAGTTATATTTATCCATGAATACATATTATAATGGTATGAGCGGCGTATTCAATATAAATCCCTTGCGTCCACCCAACGCGCAAACGTTTACCTGCGTCTATCAAATCTGTGTCTCATAGGTGCATGCGTTTTGGTGCGCAAGAAACATTTAAACGTTATAAACGTTATACATTTGTACAAAAAGCCAATTAATTTTGATGCGAAATTCGTGCTAAAAACGCATAGGTCTTCGCGGAACTTTGACCTTGCGTCTTCTGACGAAAACGGCTATAGAAAAGTACAGGTATTAGTAAAGAATGAGAGATACGTCCGCACAAACGCAAATAAGTCKCATGCATGTCGGTATGTTTGGTGATTCCAGAAAGATTCCAGATGGCCAGTGTCTGTTTTAAAATAGTACGAAAAGATAGACATTAAACTTCTTATCTTTCGGTCTATTTCCGTAATTGCGCTAAAGAAGATTATGTGGCTTTGGTGGTGAATGTTGGGTTACAACATAAACACAATTTAGCGATAAATTGGTCGAAGTTTGGAGTGGCAATTCGGTTGATTTTTACGGCTGACGTCAAAAGAGAGCGGCGACCAGCCACCGGAAGAAAACCACTTCAGCTAAAGTACAAATTCCAGAGAACTTGAAAAACAGCAAACCATTTGGCTCGTTTTGGCATTGYTGACATTTTATAAGACAAAGAACTTTAGAAAACTTGTTCCTTATAAAATAGTTCTCATAGGAAAACCACTCGAGAATAAAAGAGATTAAATTTGCGGAAAGTCCATGTTTTGAACTTACAGGAACGTAAATGTAACCGCCTCTAGAAACGCAATTCGAGATTGTATTGATCTGCACGCGACTGTCGTCAAAATAATCGCAAAACTGAACACTATTTTCATTGAAGTGTCTACTTTGATTTTACAGATAACAAATCATTGCAGATCATTTAATTAAATTTCATGATCAAATGTCACCTGAACGCTTAGGGTGATGATGCCATTGTACTGTAAGGGAAAGCCAATAAAATGCCCCTTGTGAAAAAAGTCAGGAAAACCAATAAAATGCTTGGGAAGAAAATAATTCAGAATATTCACACACAAAACCTACAATGAGATGATTGGAAAATGCACTGAAAGCCAATCTAGTGTTTTGGAAGGAAACCATTACAATGCTTCGTGTAAGAAAAGCCACCACAATGTTCTGTGCACTGAAAAATCGATTAATATAATCTGCAAAATAGGTGGTCAAAGTGTTACGCACTAAAATGCCATTGTCAAAAAGAGCCAACCGTCTTTGATTTTTCTTATATATTTTTTCTTCAAGTATAAAGAACAAGGGGAATAATAAGAAAAAATGACTGAAGTCGTTCAAATGCTACCCAAAGAAAGCCACTTGAGTCCTATCAAAACCGAAAACACTTTAAATTTTTGACCAAGATTAGAATTAATGAGAAAAGTCAAATACGAGATTACGTAGGCGGTTATGAATGGCGTTCCGGTCATTGGTTTCCACGTCTAGTAATAAAACTTTATCCCTAAACATCAACTTACGAGGTTCATTCTTAATCACAAACTTCCTCTCTTTATAAATTCAGCGACGCAAAACTTSAATACAAAAGTTGGATTTCTTGTATAACTTGATTGACATATAATTGACAAGTAGTTAATTATCATGATTGTTCGTTCTAGCACTTGATGGGCTTCCGAACAGTACACGCGCGCGAATATGCTGCATTCCACAGAGGGCGCAGACAACCTTTTCACACGTAGCTCTTGTGTCATTTCTATAGACTTTAGTTCATAGGATTATCTGGCCCGCCCAACTAGATCAATTCTTTAAAGGCGAAACGCAACACTGAGATCGTTCAATCTTTGCTCGGTCGTCGCTGTGAAGCCATGTCTGTGTTCAAAGTCGCAGTTGTCTTCGTTGTGATTTTCCATCTTGTTGTTGCGTACAGATTTCGAGGTCGTTCACCACGATGTGTCAGAATCACTAATGAAACAGCACCTATGTGTAGAAACTTATCGATTGGATATGACAACATGATGTTACCTAACCTCCTCGACCACGATACGATATCTGAAGTCAACAAAGAACTCGCACAATGGACACCTCTTGTAGCATCGGGATGTCATCCGTATATAAAGCACTTTTTGTGTTCTGTATTCGCGCCGGTCTGCATGGTAAACCAACCACCGATTGAACCGTGTCGATCGTTGTGCTCCATGGTACAAACCGCTTGCGAGCCTCTCATGCGTCGATATAACTACACATGGCCGTCGATCCTGAACTGTTCCAAGTACAAACAAAACGAAATGTGTGTTAGTATTCCTGCTCCAACCAAACCACCAACTCCAAGTGGTAGGTATTTCTCTGTTTGCCCTCGAACTCTACTCACATCTTGAAATAATTAACAACAGTGAAAGGATCTATTTATATATACWACAATGCTCTAGACCTGCGAGATATACTTTGTTTGTTTTTCACACGAGGAACCCAACTAAAGTAAATGCGCTAATTGAATTTGACTTAACTAAAGCGAAAAGTGTTTAGCGTCGGCTGGACAGTCAATATAAGCATGTCCACTTGGCATGAATACTAATTATGCTGTGAACTCTGTTTTCAAACGCTGCGATCCTTGGTGCGTCTAGTGATAAATCCTATTACCTAACTCAGCCAGGAAGAAGGATTTCGTAAAGCCTCTTAGTCAAATCAGTCGGATATTATGTAATGTAATTTGTTGATATTTACTCTAGAAAAGTCATCACAAAAGCTGTTCATTGAGATATTAAATGAGTATGATTTTACACTCCAGTAGTTCGTTGAATGTAATCACACATATATAACCACATATATAGGGTAGTTAAGATCTAATTTGATGTGGCGCGATATCAAGCTTAATTAGACAAAATATAAAAAAGTGGTTGTTTTTTTGTTTGTAGTCTGTCCAGATGAAGACGACACGAAAATCTCCCCCTCCGCTATCAAAAAGAAGTTCTGTGAGGCACAATTTGGTGAGTAGAAGTCATTTCTGAATTCTTGTCATGCTTTTGATAATGACTCGATTCGATTGTCTCATCTCGACCATTCTTGACATACTCGCAATGATGATATAACCATTATCGGGCTTAAAGTCTTATTTACGCACATATTCTGCCTGACCATGGGAAAGACAAAGGTAACCCAATGCGCACTATCATACCGATGTAGGAGGTCAAGTCTTCATTCCAGAATGTTTGATCAACTGCGTTTCTTCGAATGTTAACGATCATGATCCTCAACTTACTAAGCCCATTATTATATTTTTATCTGTTCATTCTTGGAGTAATAATTATTTATATATTCAAGAGATAAATTATCTGTATAGAATCAGACGGTGGGGCGGAGAACTAGGCGTGATTACTGTTGTTGAGACCCCAGAAGTCGCTTTGTGTTAAGGTGTTGATTGATTAATGTGTGACGATGATGTGTTTATCGACACACGAAACACGAAAACTACGACCCAGAGGGTGGTCTTTTATACAAACACTACGCATGAAACCTGTGAAATCTTCACCTTGGATTATTAAGGGGCAGTGCACAATTAATCGTCATGACAACAATAGATTTCACTAATAACAATAAACCTTCCTGGTGACAGCAACACATCAAATGTATTTCACTCATAATGATTTTAAACGTTTACTGTCTTTGTTGACGTCGTTCCCRTGACGACAGAGACAAAGCATAGCATTGCGTGCCAGACATATAGTATGAGGTCGGAAAAATTGTCTGTGAAGTAACGAAAATATCTTACTTCCTCTAAAAAATTCARTTGTAATCATGATTTCGCATTTGAATATCTCTTTTTTTTTTTTTACTGCTTCGACATTTTGTTTGGTGCAAAAGGCAAATATGATACTGCATTTTCACAGAGTCTTGCCTTTTTAGATGTAATTCCAATTTTGAAATTTATTACAATTTTAGTAAAATTTTGACGTAGATTTCCGGACTGCGATCTTTGCTTGTCTTCTGAAGTTTCAATGTTATTTTCCGTAAAAATCCTGTATAAAGCTTCATAAATACACAACTACATGAAGCATAAATAGCTTAACTGACATGAAAACAATTACATTAATAGTAAAAGCAGACGGTGAAGCAGCTATGAGCTGCCATGGAAAACCATTTTACYTCTCCCTACCCCCCTTGAAAGTGAGTATACTCATCGCAAGATATATGATTTGCGGTGTCTTTGTGGATAAACGGACGTGCCGCGGTATCCACTCTGTTTCCGACCTCCTTGAAATTCACCGAAAAAAATGTTGACTTGAGTTTGGCCTTTGAACCGATGAAATTATCGAGTAAACTTGTAATGACATGCTAAGTGACCATTCCAGACTTTTAATAGATGTAGAGCGATATGTTTTGATAATATTCCTGATATGACGTATTTTGTGTTCTTTGTTAACAATGTAGAATTCAGTGCGCACTTGGTCGCGCTTTCTAGTAGCCAGGGCTGTGTGCATGGRTTTCATGAGGGGGTGGGGGTAGGTTGCTTTGCGGTTTTCAAGACTTAAAAACTGCAGGAGATTTGTTATGATTCAAACCGGACTGAAGACTAGTCTACCAAGGAAAGGGAGTTTCCGGAACCCATGAAACCKCCCCCTGCACACGCCCCTGGTAATGCACTCCTAATTTGYAATATTGCGATACACTTGWTTAGCTTTTTAGTMATGTTCACTTGATTGGCTTTGCATCAATGTWCACTTTATTGGCTTTTTACTAATGTACATTTGATTGGCWTTTTAGTAATGTGCACTTTATTGGCTTTGCATCAATGTACACTTGATTGGCTTTTTAGTCATGTTCACTTGATTGGCTTTGCATCAATGTACACTTTATTGGCTTTTTACTAATGTACATTTGATTGGCTTTTTAGTAATGTGCACTTTATTGGCTTCCGAGTGATTCTGTGTTCTTTTTCTGATTATGACTTGTTTTTCTAGCTTTCAGAGGTCGCGTCCACGAGCGTAAAGAGAGGAACGGCTTCACCATTATCATTTTTAAAGTAAGCGGAAATCGAAGATTCTTGACGAAAAACGTTCCAAAGGGACCATTTGTACGAGTTCGTGTACCAATCAACAAAGCCCAATGCATGGGTATTCAGAAACGAAAGCACGTCCTTGTTTTTGGTAAGTTTAAGAAAGGCAAAAAGATGTTCGCAACAAATCTCTTGAAATGGAAGAAAAAGTGGAGGAAAAGGAAGATTACTAAGAAGTCTTGTAAAAAGTTTCTGGACTAARAGAACAACTATTTGCTCGACGAAAAGACTACCACGAATTGGAAGCCTGTTGTCAACACTGTGGACTACTTGTAACGATCATTGGGGCATTTTTGCCTTCGGCCTTAGGCACTTTAAGAAAAACAATATAGCAATAGAATGCAACTAACCAATGAAATCTATTGTTCTATTTGTCCAATCAGACCGCTGCTAMAATACGATGTAATTTCATAGTGTGAACCGTAAATCCGTGAAAAAAGGCATCAATTGTTGTTGTTGTTTTTTTTTTTGTAGCAGTTAGTGTTCTAATGTATGATTTCAGTATGTAAGTTAATAATGCTTCACGGATTTATGGCATTCATTTGATTTTGATACGAAATGTTTTAACGTAATTTGTAAAGCTATTTTATACATACCTTCAGACAACCGCCATTTTGGCACATGCGTGATAGTAGTAGTAGTACATATATTGTAGATAGAATCCAGTTAGACATAAAACTAAAAGAAATCGATTGTAAACGGGTTCCATGTTTTAACACWAGAAGCCTGGTCGCACTGACAAAGCTGATATTAAAAGACCGAAACATGAAAAGCGACCGGTGATTGGATAATGAGGGTTAGCGTTGATGTTACTCACCGGAACCGGACCCCTTTAATACAACCAGTGGTCGAATTATTGAATGCTTCACGGTTTTTATTTCTATTTGCCATTTTTAAACCAGAACGTTTTTAATCAATAGAGTATATAGAGAATCATCGTTGATCTGTTTATCATATAATCAAACAATAAAATGAAATGAAAAATCGAATGAATTCTGMCTCTTATTTGCTGCAGTTACACCGGGATGTCAATCCCCGAACTTTCTGCAGAAATTGCCACGATTATGTGCATGACGTCACATGATGAGAATGACGTCCTTCATGACGTAATAAATGACGTCATATTCAGGTTCAACCAATGAGATTATATATTTTTCATGTGCGCGCATACGTAAGCAACGCCCATAGGTATTTCGTTTAAAAAAGTTACCGTGTCGACAGATAGAGGAAACGCGAAATAATTAATTGAAGGTTTTMTCTGAAAATGTAATTCTACAACGATGGTTAGCAATTAATTTAATTCTATGAATATATCGTGCTATCCGGGAGATTATATCCTGCAGTTATAGTTTTAAACGCCATCCAATAATCTATWTTGCGATGTATTGTGAAGCGGTATCTAATTAAGTATTTCAATAAGGAAGCAATGGGCTTGTAGATTTAAAAATCTACAACAATCARAATACGCAATCTAATGCACTCGTGGGCTCACTTGAGTTTTGAACATTTTGTGTCGTACAGGGTGTCGATAAGAGGAAATGCAACTCGAAACCATGCGCGTTTTTGTGCATATGTCTTGAAGTTATCGTTCGTTAGCCTACAAAATAAAATATTTTGAATTGATAGATTTCTATTGCGTTCSTAAATAACTTCATTGAAATCCATGCGAAGGTTCGATCTTTTTAAAGTTTTTATACACACAATTGGGCCACACTTTCAAGGGTTCGAGTCTCAATTTTTGTCGCTTGCGCAAGATAAACAATAGCGGGCTTCCTGTGGCAGTATCACGTGCGCTTGAGTACGAGTGATGATACAACATGGCGGACGTAGAGGAAGAAAAATACACTTTGAAATGATGSCRTAAAACTCTTTYGTTTTGAAGTAATTTCTCACCATAAAMCATAGAGTTTACTATGACATTCTCAACAAACGAGCTATCGTCTTTGTTAAGGTAAGAAGTGTGAAATTTGCGGCGAAAATTACAACAACTTCAATGAGTAAAATGTTGGTTTTCTTGACCTCTTGAAATCAATTTGCTTGTCTGTTTACAGTATTTTATCTGAAGAGTCACTTCTGCAGTCATCTTTTGAGTCTATCGCACTCCAACTACACCATAGTTTCTCTAAAAATGATTATTTCCAGCTTGGATCGACTATGGTAAATTTATTGTTTGTTTTGGTATTAATCTCACATTATCTCGTTTGTACATTCTAAAATGCAACTTTTATACAAGCTTGGATTTACAATAATAAAGCTAATAACACAAGATTTCTATTATTTCTCTGTTAAGTGTGATTATACCTGGTATTTTAGTGTTGAAGGAATAATTTGTGATCAATTCCGCAGGTCCTACTTCTTCAACAGCCGGATTTAATTCCTTCTACAAACCATAGAATTATCCTTCTTTTYCTTCTCTATGAAATGTATAAAACAGAGGCTATTGCCTTGAATCCTTTTGCCCCTGTTTTTGTCCAGCTTCTGGTGAGTTACATTTCCTTGTGGTATTTGAAATTGTTTTTGTATAYCAAAGAAGTTGTAATACTGTCATGTTGTTTTTATAGACTCAGAATMATGAATATGATAACAATAAAACAGAGACAGAAACGTTTCCTTTAATCAGCCATGCAGAGAAAGCATTTTTATATCAATTGATTAATAACCCTTCAAGAGATGTAAGTTCCTTCATTTAGTCCTATAATTTTATATATTATTATCAATATCTTTAAATAATAGATGAGGTGACGGTTTCGTCTGCCATCTTGGACCGGTAGGTATAGTGTCGCAAAATAACAACGAATGACCGGGAAATTGGTGTCAAATAATTCTCGCCAAATTCAAATTCGGAAAGAATTATTAATTGCAAACGTTAGTTACTACAAAAAGGAGTTATCTGGCCAAACTTGAAGGATGTACTTCATCTAGGGAGCGAGACAATTTATTTTTAGTTCTCAATAAATTTCTTTGTATTTTTCACGCCCGTCACGCGCTGATGACCCCGGAAATTACAAAGAAATGTATGGGGAACTAAAAATGAGTTTACTCGCTCTTTAAATCAAGTACGCCCTTCAAATTTGGCCAGTTCCCTCCCTCCCTCCCTCCCTTTTACAGTATCTAACGTTTGCCATTGATAGTTCTTTCCGAATTTGAATTCTGCGGGAATTATTTGACATCGATTTCCCGGTCATTCCTTGTTATTTTGCGACACCATGCCTACTGAACAAGATGGCGGACGAAACCGTCACCTCATCTATTATAATAAATTATATTATTGGATGTAGAGATTATTCTATACTGTAGCAGGAAAAATATAAAGTGTACCAGGAAAAGTATTAAGTGAATGAACTGTGTGCATATATGTTGGAAATCTCTTGTCTCTTTGTTTTCTTTCACCTATTTTCTTACTTTCTTATTATTATTCTCATATTCATGATTATTATTATTATCTATTCTAGATTTTTAAGAAAACACCAAAACAAGTTTTATCTACTGAATTCCCAAGATCAGGCCAAGTAATTGATAAAATGTTTAACTTTTATTGAAGTACAAAGTTAAAATMAACAAAAAGAATTAACAAGTGTGGATAAGAATTTGCTAAAAAAGTACCTTGTAAATAACAACATACTAAGTCTAAACAAAAAGAGTTCCAAGATCAATGTATTTATGATTGCTGTATTGTAGACATAGTTATTAGCAGGTATCAGTATATTATCTAAATCATCTTATGGAATACAGAGAAAAGAAAATACAGTATTGATGTCATTTCTTGGCAGTGTAGCAATAATATTGCAAGACTTTCAGGTTGCCTTTATATAGGAATTAACTAGAACACAATCGGTCTACAACAAAATGAGTCCTCTAGTATGCAGGATTCTACTGTAGTATTTGTTCCTAATTCTTTCCTTTTTCTCTTAGAACTTTGATCTCAGCAGTTTGCAGTTAGCTCTTACGGAAAGGAATTCCCAGCTAAGTGAATATAGCTGTAGTGGAATTTCTAGTATCCTAGCGGACCCTGACCWAGACTCTAGCATATCAGTTGACTCTTCCACAATAACAGAGACCATGGTTACAGGTACAATTGACATTTGGTGATTATAATTATTGATGATGATGATGATGATAGTGACAGTGATACGAAAATGTAATGGAAGCTTCTAATGTTCCTCTGGGAATGATTGACGTTTGGTGATTAAAATTATTGATGATGATGATGATGATGATGATGATAAACAAAATAAAAATGTAATGGAAGCTTCTAATGTTTCTCTGGGAATGATTGATGTTTGGTGTTTACGATTATTGATGATGATGATGATGGTATGTTTTATCGCCTAGGCACTGATCCACCATCAAATAACAGTCTCCGTCCAACATACGCTAGGGTACCACCTCCTCTTTATTCCTGTGAAGATGAGCTTGTCTGGATGAATCCATCAGGGACGGGACCGTCAATAGAATGGGACTGTACAATGTGTGTCACCAATGGAGCTGGTATGTATCATCCATCCATCTATCTAGTCATTCATCCATCTAGTTCTTAATCTTTCACCAATGTTTTACTTGCTCTAATGTAGAGAGATTTCAAGAATGATGGACAAAGCATCTAATCAATTCATTCATTCGTTCAGTCATTTGTCCATTTAAACTTGAATCTTTCACCAACTTATTTTTAGGTGGTAAAAAGGGGAGAATGATGGATAAAGCTTTTATTCATTCATTCATCATTTATTCATTCCTCCATTTAAATTTGAATCTTTCACTAATTTTTTAACTTATTTTTAGGTGGTGAGATGCGGAGAATGATGGCGAAAGCTTTTAAAGGACCTCTTATTCTTCATCAGCAACAACAAGTTCTGGGTGAATTAGAAAAGGACCCTAAATTAGTGTATCATATAGGATTATCACCAGCTAAGGTATGTAGCATGWAACACATGGTACACTTCTCATACCTGGACAATTTATATCGCACCTTCATCACTTGCAACTCGGTTCAGACCATTCACTCTGCTGCATGCACAGTTATTTGCTCATGTCACACAACACTACTCATTGCATCCAATATGTCACACAAGACTAACTTAGTCACCCAGAAAACTGTCACTCAATCTATACACCGATTCGAAAAATGGCAGCCGGCTCAGTAAACGCRGACAAACTGGTAATGCAAAACATGATGTCGAGGCTAGTCAGTATATGTTCCATCATTGAAACAAGAGTAGTAGTTTTAGTAGTATAACTACTTTATAGATGAAACAAACATAGAAACATCAACTACCATTCCTGACAGGATTCAAACTTATCATTACATGTAGTTTGTGTTGGGGCATGCCACATATTAAGTAAAATGTATGATGAGTTTAATGTTATTTCAAACTGCAACATTGCAAAATTCTGTGTCATTTTAATTCATGTATATTCTTTTGTTTTAGCTGCCTGATTTAGTAGAAAATAATCCTTTAGTAGCAATAGAAGTCCTATTGAAGCTAATGCAATCAAATCAATTTACAGAGTAAGTTTTTACTACTCTAAACCAGTTSAAAACTTGCTGGAAAACGTGTTTTCTTTATAACTGGTTCAAAACCTGTTTATCTTGTTTTTAGGTATCTATCTGTTCTTGTCAATATGGAGATGTCACTTCATTCAATGGAAGTTGTCAACAGACTGACCAATGTATGTGTCTTTTACTATATTAGGAACGACAAAGGGATCCCAAAAACATTTTGTGYCCTTTTACTGYAAATTTTATCAATCTACAATCTTCCACAAAATATATCGGTCACCTATGAACTCGCACTCCTCTACACTGTTGCTGGGAGAGTACTCTGTCAGTTTTGGAGTATTTYCGAGAGAAAAACAATGTAATAATTAGTGGTGTCTCATTTTTTTATGTGGAAGATTGTAGGTATAATCAGCTACCATTAAATTAACAATGCTTATAACATCTTAAAGCCATATCTATCTGACAGTTCCCATACTTGGACTAGACTTCATCTTGATTATAACATCTTGTTATTTGCATAACAGACGGTGGGACTTCCTCAAGAATTTGTTCATCTTTATATATCAAACTGTATTTCAACTTGTGAGAATTTTAAAGATAAATATATGCAGAACAGATTAGTCAGATTGGTAAGTCGTGAGAGCTACGKTATTCATTTTATTTGATGTTGATATAATAATTAAATCAATCAGTTGTGCAAGTATTTGATTGGTGTGTCAAAACCCAAGACTTGAGTTGAAGCATTGTTACCAAGGTCATAGCTACCATGAGACAGAGACTTACGTTCTGATATATGATTTTGAAATATGTTTTCTTTTAGGTTTGTGTGTTCTTGCAATCCTTAATACGAAACAAAATCATTGATGTCAAGGTCTGTGATTATATTGTTTATTGTTGTTGCCGTCATTGCTGACATATAAGACTTCTGAACCTTTTACGTCACTACTTGATTTTCAATGCATTGTGGGATCAGTTTCAAGAGAAAACAAAAGAAATCCGCCATGTTTTGTCCCAAACATGTCCTACAATGCATTGCATATACGATACATGATGTAAAAGCTGCAGAAGTCTATTTCCATTGTGGGAATATCTGCTCAAGTTGTCAGAAGTTGTAATAATATTTTTTTTAGTTATTTAGTTTTTCTCTTTCAGGATTTATTCATTGAAGTGCAAGCATTTTGCATTGAGTTCAGTCGCATCCGTGAAGCAGCAAGTCTATTCCGATTACTCAAAACTCTAGATAATGGAGAAACCAATTCCCCACCGCCAAAATAATCCCAAAAGGACTGGTACTATATAGACTATATGTACTCCACTTCAAATAATGCTTAGATTTTYTTGTGATTGGGATACCTGTGTTGATACCACAGGTAGCCCACTGGTTAGAAATGTCTTTAAAGTTGTACACAGAGTTATAGTTAAATTTCAGGAAGCCTGAAAAGGTTTTCTGTTAACAGTGTATTAGATATGAATTTATGTAATAAACAATTTTACAATTTACAACCATATATATTTACGACAAATCCTTATTTTCTTTATACCGACAGGATCGGACTTTGTTTTGACATTTGTTAACAAACTTTGTACTCTATGATTTGAAGCTGCTTGTTTTTTTTGTTGTTTTTTTTTTGTTGTTTTTTTTTTTACCTGCGTTAGCTTTAGTTCTGCGGCTATTTATGGTAACGTTCCGATGATGTCACGATTAATCATCATTCGCCCCAAGTGTATGCGTGAACCTTTGCGTGATTTTCTGTTATCTCGGCCATTTTGGATTGATAACCAATCAGAAAGCAACTTTAAGATCAATGTTTGTAGAATAAAACAAACAATCGGGTGCAGGTGAGGCTGTAAGATATAATCAGTAAAAATGAGCCAATCAGCGATTACTATTTCACAGACGCTCAATTACAAGGAAGTCGGATGAGCCTGTACGGGTTACTCTTTTCGGACTCCCGTAATTTCTCCTATAATTAGTACCACACAGACTGACATGAGGTAAGAGAGAGACTCAGTTGTGAAAATATATATCCATCCCTTGCCCAACAACCAAATACTGCTGATCATGTTGATCATAAATTGCTTATTGTTCATCCTTTTACTCCGACGAAGAACGTCCCAAATGTCAGTAGTTTAAGATCGTACTTTTTACAGTGTATAATTTATCTAATTTCACTATTGTTCATCAGTTCAAGGGCAAAGCATGCTCACCATTGAGTCCCTCGCTCGGGTGCTTTGTAAAAATATAGTCAGTCTACGAGCAACAGGCGACATCTAATTTGTATTTCAATAGTGAAGAAAAATTCAAGAACTGCTCTTACGCTACTTTGGCTTGTGTGGAGTGACTTCACTAGGGAAAACCATAGAAACATCGCCACAATGAAAGTATTTTCGTTTTTTGTTTACTAAAGTTCTTAAGTTGAATGAATTTACTTCAATGCAGTAATGATATTAACATAAATAGACGACACCTTTCTTTTCTTTGAGGGCTTTTTTTATTTTTTATTTCCTTTTTATTTTTWATTTTGCTGGAATATCTATCGTGAACAGTTTTAGACTTCCTTTGTCGGACTTTTGGCTTTTTCTGCGACTTTACTTCAGATGAAAGTACTGTGTATGTGTCATAAATTAATAAACATAATCTTGTAATAAAATAGCCCGTGTTAAGTAATGAATGGCTTGAAAGTAAGGCTCAAGTCGCAGTAAAAAACTCTCCACAAACTTCAAAACTATTTTTCCGTAATTGACAAAATCTTTACGCTAGAGGTTGCGTATAGTCCTTTTTTTTTTTTTTTTGCTAGAATTAACAGTTTTTTATTTGGCGCTCTAACAGTCCCGTGGTAAAATGAGCTCATTTTGGTTTCAAATATCCGCCCACGTAAAATAAAATTTGGCAGTCGATGACTGCATGTGATTCAGGCCATTGGATTAATTAGTAAACTTTGAACACACTATCTTCAGTATACAACGTTTTCTTCAGGGGTATATCCAGGGGGGTCACAGGGTGCCCTGTCTCCTCCCCCCGATTTTAAAAGGTTTCTTTGCTTTAAAGTTCCAGTATTACCCTTAATGCTTTGCGCGCCATTTCATCATTTCGTGTCAGGATCGGATAAAMAGCTGAGTTGTCAATGAAGCAATTACTACAGACAACGCACATTTCAAAGTCTGTATCTGTATGATTAAACAAATCCGAAACAAAGTCAAAACAGACGTCGCAAAGCCTCTAGTCGAKGGTGATAGTGGGACAGTAACGGCTGTATAAAGATAGCAATGCCTAGCAACAAACACAATAAAATACAGCTTGACTTTTTCAACTTAAAGTCTTAAAGTTTAAACCTAAGTAGCTTAGCTAATTCAGGTTGGGTTCAGGTTATGTAATTTAAATGGTTTTTAAAAAAAACCCTGCGTTAAAATCTGTCGATCTGATTGGCTCATAATAACGTGCACAGTCAGATTGTAAACGTATTTCCGGTTGCGAAGTTATGCTTTACTTCCGGCCCGTCCAAGCACGAATCTTATATTTCAGAGTTTGAAACACCTCTCTGTGATTATGGTAATTGTGTTTTGGACCTTCAGATCTCGAATGTTTGGATACGTACTAGGGTTGCTGATCAAGGCTTGAGGAATCGAAGGCATTAATGGAGAGGRTCTTGTCCGTTGTGATGTCCGTACTTCTTCTGCTACGTGTTGGTTCATGAAGATTGTGAAGCACGTTGTCCATATTTCCTTTAATCGCGGTCTGATTTACCGTCAATGGTTGCTGCCAAGCGGATCAAGCAGCTTGTACAACTAGCTGCAGTTGGACTTCTGCTTTTAACGTTCCTAATATTCACTCAATGGGAAGATGTAACGTCTGGCACGAGGTTGCAACGAAGATCGTTCGGTAATGTCATCGTAATCCTAAAAATTCTTCSAAATATTTTTGCACTATTCTTTATATATGATCCTTCTCATATGCGTAAGAACATTTCTGACTTGTTTTCATTTACCAATGAATCCTAAAGAGTTAAGATCACAACTCMTTGCTACTAAGCAATCGAGATTCCTGAACTGCCTTTATTGAGCCGTGTAACTATACAACAACAATTGTAGATTKACAATGTTTATTTGCTTTTTTACTCAAGGAGTAGGAGAGCAAGATGACGAAGAATTATTGGCTCTCGAGAAAGAACTCGATGTTGACCGTATATTGAAGGTATATACGCTCTTACACAGCATTTAACTTGTTTATTACCAGAGAGAACTCGATACTGACCTGTTCGGGGTCACCGCGTTATCAACTAACAATAATTCATTGTCGATCTATTGTGTAGCTTAAGGAAACAACGTTTTGTCCTGTTATTATGAAGGAATTCGCTWATTTTAGAATCTAAGAAATGTATAGTTAAATACAGCTTTATGGTGTCATTTCATTCTATTATAGTAACAGCTATTTCACGGTCTAGTGGGATTTATAATGTACTTAAATTTTTCCTGCTAWTAAACAAAACTTTTCCTTCGTTCCTACTAGACAGTGGAATTATCCACAAGATAATGATTGTTTCAGCTTTTAAGTCGGTTTTTTAACCACACAAGCTTGGTTTCGCGAAAGTGGCTTAGAAAGTGACTGTGGCTAGACGTCATGCTATTCCCAACCCTTTTAAAAACCTTATTTAGATTCCCGTAAGTCAAAATACCTACCAGGTATTAATTAACTCGAGAATATGAAAAACGAACTCTTTCTCATAATCCAATATATTTGATTGTTATTCTATCCGTTTATTGACCTAAAATCGCATTTTATCACTGAGGAAATTTCAGGGTATATTACTAGTAAGTCGTATAATGAGTTTGTGATTTCTCGATTCATATGAACTCGAGATATTTAAAGATTATTATGAAATGACCACAACCTAAGTATAAATGTTAATTGTAATCCTCAGAGTTCTTTCTGGTTATTAGACATGTTATATAGGGATTTATGAAGCTAGGGGGCGGTCCATTCATTTTACCTCTAAATGAATAAATAAGAGTTTTACCTTTCAATAATAAATAACAACCTACTAACKCGAAAAATTGACTTTTATCAAACATTGGTATTCGATTAAAATATGAAGCAAGAAAACGAGAATTAGATATCGTTGAAAAAAACGACGAATACCGTTTAAAAAAATACTAAAATTCAATGCTTTGAAATTTAATTTAGAAGTTGCTTGAATATCTCTGAGGGTTTTTCAGTTTCGACTGTTTTTTCAGCTTTCGACTGAATTCTAGACCAAGCAGAATGTACTTTCTTTCTTCGTGAAGTGGATAATTGCAACATTGCCGCCAAAAGCGCTTAGCCATTTTATCCCAGATTACAAAATATTACTTTCTTCATTTATTTTATTWTGCTTGGATTTTGTCAGGATTTGGAAGTGAATGGCTTATTACAWGAAAATACGAAGTGCTCATCTTKTAAAAATGTGCTCATCTTTCCATGTCAATAATATTCAATTTCTTTTTTTTTTTCTTTTTATCATTTTTGCGCTTTTTATTAATATTTTTTTTCAATGGTACAAGCCCGGGGGGGAGGGTAGGGGGTAGGGGGGGTACTCGACCCCGTTTTGGATAGGTACGTGCCGCCAGCGGTCTAAATCCCGGACCCTGTTTAAGACACTAGAAAGTAAAAATCCATACCCTGTTCAAGACAAATCGGAAAAGTAAGGAATAGCTATCTACGCTGCAACCATCAAAACTGCAATTATACTGACATCCATCAAAGATTATAAGAAGTTTTTGATAACACGTTAATCCTGGGAAAGTGAGACGGTATTTCTACTATTTCTACGGTGTTTTTTATGAAAATATTATCCTGTCCAAGACACACAAAAATATTATATCGGTCTTTTATCTAAATTGTAGAGCCTGTTTAAGACAATTTCGGGTGAAATGTATACCCTGTTTA